AAAGCATGCAATACATTGTTACACATTCTATGTTCTTAATATGAGTTTTTTTGTTTCCCTCATATTAAATTACACGGCACTCGTTGACGTTAAATTAAGCCCTAAATTTTCCTATACTCACTCAGACTTACTAAAATTTCGAGTAATGGTATCATGTCGTTTATATTCTTTATCTTACATTGAATTTTTGCATTATCTTCCAATACATGCTTATACATTTTCGTTTCTTATGGAAATAATTTCTATGAATTGGGAACTTTAACAGGGCCATATTGATTCTGGTTATACTCCACATTATTTTTAAGGCAGAAAAGTTCGTTCATTGTATCATTTTGCCTTTTATTCCTTATTTCATGATATTCATACAAATGCAGTCGGCTAAACTGTTAATCCTGGTCATCCTGCCTTGTCTGTGAATTCTCAGTGGACTCAGTTCTCATCCTGCGTCAGATGCGACCAGTTATACGCATGGTTATAGGTAATAGGGATAGATTGCTACCGTGTTCCAATAAAAATGTGGGTCTTAATTAACCTTGTGTGATCCTCCTACTTGCTATGTCTACTCAATCTTCGTTCCTGAACGTATGGTGTTCCACATAAGCTTTCAAAAGCATTAAACTTATGATGCATTTAAATATTTAAATTAGAAATCTATGTGACTCTGATGTCGTTGAAAAATAATGTATCTATGTATATGGCTAATTAAAAAATATAAAAATCTGAAAAACTTCCTTTGCAGTTTATTCTAGCCGCTGCTGCTACCGTAGCCCTAGCTGCCCCTCAGGCTGGATACCAACTGCCCCAGCCGGACCCACAACCCCAGCCAACCTATGGCGTCCCCGATGCCTCCGTGAAGTCAGCAGCCCCAGTTGAGGTTGTGCCTATCATTAAAGATCAACGTACACAAAACGAGGACGGAACGTACACTGTCGACTTTGAAGCTGGTAATGGAATCGTCGTGGCCCAGTCTGGCTCACCTAGCGGCCCCGAGGGTGCTGTGGTTTCCTCTGGACAATACACGTGAGTGGTTTATTTACGTATATATGGCAAATAACAGCAACAACAACAACAACAACAACAACTACTACTACTACTACTACTACTACTACTACTACTACTACTACTACTACTACTACTAACTAATAATAATAATAATAATAATAATAATAATAATAATAATAATAATAATAATAATAAAAGTACTACTTCTACTACTACTACTACTACTACTACTAATAATAATAATAATAATAATAATAATAATAAAAATAGTAATAATGATAACAATGAAAGTACTTCTTCTACTACTAGTACTACTACTACTACTACTACTACTATAATAATATAATAATAATAATAATAATAATAATAATAATAATAATAATAATAATAATAGTAATAATAATAATAATAATAACAACAATAATAATAATAATAATAATAATAATAATAATAATAATAATAATAATCATATTTTTTTATTAACACACTGGCCGATTCCCACCAAGGCAGGGTGGCCTGAAAGAGAAAAACTTTCACCATCATTCACTCCATCACTGTCTTGCCAGAAGGGTGCTTTACACTACAGTTATAAAACTACAATATTAACACCCCTCCTTCAGAGCGTAGACACTGTACTTCCCATCTCCAGGACTCAATCCGGCCTGCCAGTTTCCCTGAACCCCTTCATAAATGTTATTTTGCTCACACTCCAACAGCACGTGAAGTATTAAAAACCATTTGTCTCCATTCACTCCTATCAAACACGCTCACGCATGCCCGCTGGAAGTCCACGCCCCTCGCACACAAAACCTCCTTTACCCCCTCCCTCCAACCTTTCCTAGGCCGACCCCTACCCCGCCTTCCTTCCACTACAGACTGATACACTCTTGAAGCCATTCTGTTTCGCTCCTTCTCTCTACATGTCCGAACCACCTCAACAACCCTTCCTCAGCCCTCTGGACAACAGTTTTGGCAATCCCGCACCTCCTCCTAACTTCCAAACTACGAATTCTCTGCATTATATTCACAACACACATTGCTCTCAGACATGACATCTCCGCTGCCTCCAGCCTTCTCCTCGCTGCAACATTCATCACCCATGCTTCACACCCATATAAGAGCGTTAGTAAAACTATACTCTCATACATTCCCCTCTTTGCCTCCAAGGACAAAGTTCTTTGTCTCCACAGACTCCTAAGTGCACCGCTCACCCTTTTCCCCTCATCAATTCTATGATTCACCTCATCTTTCATAGACCCATCCGCTGACACGTCCACTCCCAAATATCTAAATACATTCACCTCCTCCATACTCTCTCCCTCCAATCTGATATCCAATCTTTCATCACCTAATCTTTTTGTTATCCTCATAACCTTACTCTTTCCTGTATTCACTTTTAATTTTCTTCTTTTGCATACCCTACCAAATTCATCCACCAACCTCTGCAACTTCTCTTCAGAATCTCCCAAGAGCACAGTGTCATCAGCAAAGAGCAACTGTGACAACTCCCAATTTATGTGTGATTCTTTATCTTTTAACTCCACGCCTCTTGCCAAGACCCTCGCATTTACTTCTCTTACAACCCCATCTATAAATATATTAAACAACCACGGTGACATCACACATCCCTGTTTAAGGCCTACTTTTACTGGGAAATAATCTCCCTCTTTCGTACATACTCTAACTTGAGCCTCACTATCCTCGTAAAAGCTCTTCACTGCTTTCAGTAACCTACCTCCTACACCATACACCTGCAACATCTGCCACATTGCCCCCATATCCACCCTGTCATACGCCTTTTCCAAATCCATAAATGCCACAAAAACCTCTTTAGCCTTATCTAAATACTGTTCACTTATATGTTTCACTGTAAACACCTGGTCTACACACCCCCTACCTTTCCTAAAGCCTCCTTGTTCATCTGCTATCCTATTCTCCGTCTTACTCTTAATTCTTTCAATAATAACTTTACCATACACTTTAACAGGTATACTCAACAGAACTTATCCCCCTATAATTTTTGCACTCTCTTTTGTCCCCTTTGCCTTTATACAAAGGAACTATGCATGCTCTCTGCCAATCCCTAGTACCTTACCCTCTTCCATACATTTATTAAATAATATCACCAACCACTTCAAAACTATATCCCCACCTGCTTTTAACATTTCTGTCTTTATCTCATCAACCCCAGCTGCCTTACCCACTTTCATTTTACCTACTGCCTCACGAACTTCCCCCACACTCACAACTGGCTCTTCCTCACTCCTACAAGATGTTATTCCTCCTTGCCCTATACACGAAATCACAGCTTCCCTATCTTCATCAACATTTAACAATTCCTCAAAATATTCCCTCCATCTTCCCAATACCTCTAACTCTCCATTTAATAACTCTCCTCTCCTATTTTTAACTTACAAATCCATTTGTTCTCTAGGCTTCCTTAACTTGTTAATCTCACTCCAAAACTTTTTCTTATTTTCAACAAAATTTGTTGATAACATCTCACCCACTGTATCATTTGCTCTCTTTTTAATAATAATAAAAATAATAAAAATAATAATAATAATATTAAGAATAAAAATAATAATAATAATGATAATAATAATAATAATAATAAATAATAATAATAATAATAATAATAATAATAATAATAATAATAATAATAATAATAATGATAATAATAAATAATAATAATAATAATAATAATTAATAATAATAATAATATATAATAATAATAATATAATTATTATTATAAATAGTATATATTATAAATACATCCTCCAATAGATACAAAGCTCCTGACGGCACCAACATCGCAGTGAAATACGTTGCCGACGAGAACGGCTACCAACCCCAGTCTGACTCACTGCCAGTGGCTCCTATATTTCCTCATCCACTTCCTCAATACGTGTTGGACCAGATCGAATTTGCTGCTAAAGAAGACGCTGCCCTCGCCGCCGCCGAAGCTGCTGAAAGAAGTGCTGCACCTTCTCAGACCTATGCACAACCTCTGTAACTGCCGCTGCTGTGTGGTATTACCTAGCTGATATCCTCTCGAAAACTCTCAGTAAAATGACTCACACTGGCCTCCTAATCATAGGGCTGGCTCGCCATGGGTTCGAAACCCCACCCGTTCTGTGAGCTCTCGATAATATATTTCTTGAACGTTTTCCTTCAGTATTGTGTGAAAGATGTAGTGTACGAAATAATATATTAATTATCAACAATTATGTTTTATTAAATTTATACATACCCTGCTACTAAGACACCTATTAGGTGAACACAAAGATGATCAAAGTTGACTCACGAAATCGTAATGACACGATTGCAAACAAACCATACCACGGGCGGGATTGAACCCGCGGTCAGAGAGTCTCAAAACTCCAGACCGTCGCGTTAGCCACTGGACCAGCTAGCCACAATAAGATTCGTCCACCTAAGTATATTTCTACACCATAGGAAGGTTAGCATAGGCACTACTGTGACCACAAATGCAAGTTTTTACAGACGAATCTCCAGTTAGCGTGGCCGTTCATTGTGGTCACAGTGGTGCCTATGCTAACCTTCCTATGGTGTAGAAATATACCTAGTTGGACGAATCTTATTGTGGCTAGCTGGTCCAGTGGCTAACGCTACGGTCTGGAGTTTTGAGACTCTCTGACCGCGGATTCAATCCCGCCCGTGGTACGGTTTATGATCAAAGTTATGAAACATTTAGTAGATGAGTAAAACTGATACATCGATCCTAGCCATGATGTTGGTGAGGGGGGTTTTTGCTCCGAGAAATGCAAGCTACTCTTCCATTCCATCAGTCAAACCTGATTACCTTCCATTTATTAGGGGTTGTGCGTCTCTTACTAGTTTAATAAGAAGAGGTTCAACAAATATTTAACGATTAAATTATTCAAGGTATACAAAAATTAATAATCTCAAGTACTTATCTCATTTCGGTGGATTCTACAATTCTGGTAGAATCGTCGTAGTTCGTAAGAAAATTACCGGTAATTTTTTTGGGTTGTGTATATATATAAATAATATATATATATATATAAATATATAAAATATATAAATATATAATATATATATATATATATATATATATATATATTATATATATAATATTATATATATATATATATATATATATTATATATATAATATATATAAAATATATAAAAATATATAAAATATTTTATATATATATATATATATATATATAAAAAATATATAAAATATAATATATAATATATACATAATATATATTTATATATATATATATATATATATATATATATATATATATTTTATATATATATAATTTTAAATATATATATTATAAAAACGATGGGGTCCACCTCGGGTTTGTAAATTGTGGGACCCATACCTCGGAGAAGTGGATAAAAAGGTTTTAAGGAAGAAATTTGGAATTTCTTCCTGAAGCCGTTTGAATTTCCCACTTTTCCCTACCACCCCATCTTTTCAATTTTTTACTAGTAGGAATATTTTTATTACATAATAGGTAACAAAAGATTTAAGAGCTACATTGTTGATATAAAGGTGGCATATACGGTACATGTTGTTACGTGTGTATCACCGATTATAGGGAGAAAATCTCATCCAGTTCCTCAGAGCTGGGGCTTGTGCCCAAAATACAGCAGGCATTACCCCTTTGAACAGCCGCACTGAGCCGCTGGAACAGAAAACTAGCTGCCCTGGGATCCCTAGTTACCCAGTTCCTTAAGGAATTTAGATGCATTCTTTCCCTATGAGCCAAGGTTAAATGAGCCTATGGGAACAAACATATAATGATGGGCAAGTTCTCCATATTTTCTAGACTTTTGGGACTCCCTGAAGCTGGCACCTGCCCCTCCTTCCTCCCTGGTGTATTGGAGATAGGTATCAGCCAAGGTCAATGCACATGTATAGTCCCACACCACTGCTTCCCTTCTCTCCAGACTTGAAGGGTGATACCATCTGGACGCTTCTGGCTGCCATCAGATATGCATAGCTGGGGTGGCTCCCTTACTGCTGGGCATCCGGCTGTTGTGAGGCTCCTCTTGATAATGTTATTAACCTCCTCATGTTTGCAATCTTTCCCTCGGATTTATGGCACACAAGACCGTGGTACCCGAATCGGTCTGCTGCTTCACTGCCACAAATGCACCTGTGTTCGGCGAGAATAGGGGCGGCAAATCGAAGGGCAACACCGATGAGGATGGTCTGTGGGTCGAGGGGTGTGCCAAGGCTGGAGTTGGGAACAGCCAACAGAAAATCTCCTGCATGAGGGGCTCTCACTGCCAGGAGGCGTTCTCTATCCTTCCCTGACACACTCTGAAGCATTGTTGAGGCTATATTTTCCACTATTGGACCATCCCAGTGCGATTGTTTGTAGTTGTTGGAGGAAGCAGGTCTGGTTTCAGAGCCCGTTAGATTATCCCAGATCATGGTTCCGTCAATGAACTTTTGGTCCTGGACTCCAATCTTGTCCCTATGATGTTCAGGGAGAATATCTGCTACCAGCCCTCTGGATGCAATACATGAGGAAAGAAAAGCAGGCAGCGCAATCTGTGATGACTTGGGGACACCAATGCCTCCTAGTCTGACTGGAAGTGTAAGCTTGGTTCCACTGCCCGTTTTCCCTAGAGTAAGGTTAAGTATTTTTCGTAAAAATCTGCCTCAGGATACTGTCATATTCGTGCAGTACAGGGTTATCATTTTGAAGGTGCACATCTTAGGAAATATGCCCAACCTGGCAAAACTCAAGCACTTTGTGTCAACTGGTTTAAATTCCCATTCACCAGAGGTGCTTCACTCCAGAGGGCAAGACACTGTTTGTGGGGGAAATGCCCTGCTGCTCCTGGTAGTTTGGATCTCACTGCATTTATCACTTGTTGATTGACTGAGATGATTTCACATTTGGTGGATTCAGGATGAGACCCATTTCCTGTCCCCGTGTCATTACCTGTTTTAAGATCATGTAGAGGGACTCCTTTGTACCTGCAGTGTGCCATCATCTAGGAACCAGATGTTTAGCTCGCTGGTCAGTCTGACTGTGATTTCCCTAACTGCTTTACACAAGAGAAATGGTGCAAGAGGATCTCCTTGTTGGACACCCTCCGATGATGTGATTTCATGCTCTCCAATGAGAAGCATTGATTCCTTGCTATACCTAGCTGCAACAAAAGGGAAGAGACCAGGGAAATGTTCTTGTGCTGCTGCTAATACCACGTCTCTTTTCAGGAGATTGAATGCATTCTTGAAATCTAATTTTACCACTGCATTGTCGTCAGGCAGGTTGTTGATATACGCCCTTGTTGCATGAACCGCTGCTTCACTTCCTTGAGAGACCCCAAAACCAAGCTGGTTTGGTTGAAGCATCATGGCTGCCTATGCACGAATACTTTGGACAGCAGCCTTGGATACGAGGCGGCGTAACGTGTTGCCTACTTCAATTGGACGAATTCCTCCATCCTTCTTTTTAAGTGCACAAAGTGTTGCACCAAAAAAAAAAGGTCTAATTTCATCAGGAATCAGACCAGCCAAAGGGAAATGTTGACGAACCTTTGGATCTCTGAAAGCAGTGTCTCTGCAATTTCCCCAATAACAGGATTAACCATTTCCTTTAAATGTTGTGGCCTTATTCCAGTGTAACCCCCAGCAGAGCCAGATTGGAATGACATTATTGCTTAGTAAATGTCTGAGTCTTCCACAATCAATGGTTCCACAGTGGGGACAGAGGTGTTGGAATTGTTGGTGCCCATGGTTTCCCTGGCAGGGTGCTTTCCTCTAAGTGCTTCGCCGTGTGAGCATCCCTGGGAGCAACTGTATCTTCACTGGTTAATAATTCTGATTGCCCCACTGTGTTTTCCCTTCAATTTTCTTTCTCACCTGGACTCTGACTTTTTCACTGTCAGTGAAGTGAGTGGGGGTTCTGCCTCTCCCTTTTTTGTGTTGACGGGGAAGGCGAATGAGGTTATCAGCTCTAGGAAAATCTCTTAAGGATTTAATTATCATTGAGGGTATCCTTTCCCCTTCTTTCCGGCACAGCTAAGCATACATTGCCAAAAAGTAGCAAGTTGTGCCATGCCTTGATGGTTGGTGGAGCATTTAAGATAGTGGAGCCATCGTTTACTTTTTTCAGGTCTGTAAGTTTCCCAGCTGCGTGTGGACGGGCTGCTTTGGGAATATGTGTGAGTGTTCTGGTACCTGTTGCTTTAATTGCTTCCAAGATATTGTCTGATGAGATGAGATCTGTTGGAGTGGGTTCAGGTGCCTGAGGTAGCTCTGGATCATCACTTTCCACAGGAGGACATCGTGAACCAGGGCAACTACCATGTTTGGGGGAGGGAAAACCCTTAAGTTGAGACAACAGCTGTAAGCATGACCGACACTTGCCTCTCCTACTATTGCCAGCCGTGCCATTTCCATGGCTGCTTGCTCCTCCTGGTTTGCATCCATCTGCTAGACTAGACAATAGGAGTGGAGTATGACATGCTGGGTGGGTAAGGTGTGTGGAAGGTAGTGAACTTGACCGTGGTGGCCTGGTGGAGTTTGAGGGCTGGTGAGGGGCTGGGAGGGGAAGGGAAAACTTCCCCTGGGAATTGGGTGGGGGAGGCGCAGGTTGTTGAGTGGGGTTATCCCGGGAGTACAGTAAAACATGGACTTGCACACTATATATTGTTCACACTGTCCCTTTCAATACACAAATTATTTGTTTCCCATGTACACTATGAACAATGTAGGTATATATATAAATAAATATATATATATATATATATATATAATATATATATATATATATATATATAAAAAATTAATCTATAAAAAATTTAAAATTTAAATTTAAAATGTACCAGGCCTACCCCACCAAGGTCCAGGGTGGCCCAAAGAAAAAATTTTGTCACACCACACTTCGGCCAAGGGGTTTCCACAGTTTAACTCACCCCTTTAACACACCCCCCGAGAGGAAATTTTTACCCAATGGTTTTTGAACCCCATAAATGTACTTTTTCCAAAAACTTTCCCCCGCCGTCAAGCATTAAAAATAATTTTTATTATTATATATAATAATATTTGAATAATGAAAAAAATTTATTTAAATTTATAATTATTTTATAAAATGATAATTTAATATTTTTTATTTTTACATTTAAAAATCAAAATCCCAGCCCCGGAAAATTTTTGTAACCCACCTTTTTACAACTAATTCCAAAAACATTTTGCTTAATTAAAAATGGGCCCCAAATGAATTCCCGACTTCCAGCACTTCTCCACCGGAATTACACCCACCCAACCAAAAAAGGTGGAAAACAAAACTACAACAATTTTTTTCCCAAGGGCCAAAAACTCTAAGACTCCTACTCATAAATCTTTTTTCCCCAAAATCAGGATTCACCCACTATGCCAACCGCTGCACTTTCCCTCCAAATAGAACGTTCAACTCCCCCTTCCTTCCCCCAATCTGGACCACTATATAATTTGGATCCTCAAAACCAAAAAATTTTCCAGATTTAATTCCTTTTGCAAAACCAAATTTACAATTGAACTTTTTAGAACCCCAAGAGCCGTCTAAAAAGGATAAAATCCCAAAGTGGGGGATTCTATCAACTTTCTTACCAATCGAACCCACAAATTTTAAAAATTTAAAAACCCCGGGAAAACACTCTTGTTCCAAAGGCCTACTTTACTGGTTTTCCCTCTTTCCCAACATACCCAATGAGTAAACCAAAACCTTTCACCTTTTCAGAACATTACAAACCTTTCAAATTGACATTTGAGACCCCGCAAATACCCCCAAAAATAAAACCAAAAAATTTTCCTTTTTCAAAAAGGGAAAATATGTTCAATTAAACATTCCAACCCTCCTATAAGCCTTTTTGAGGAAACAATAGTTAGAACTGAGTATACTACAAATTCTAATTACACAATAGAGCAGAAAAGTAATGTGAAGGACCTGGGAATGGTAATGCTTGAGGATTTCACCTTCACGGATCACAACAGTGCTATTATCACATCAGCGAGGAAAATGATAGGATGGATAATGAGAACATTTGAAATAAAAGATGCCATGCCAATGATGATCCTTTTCAAATCACTTGTTCTCTCTAGATTGGAATATTGCCGTACATTAACATCTCCATTCAAGGTAGGTGAGATCCCATATCTAGATAAAGTACAGGGAACCTTCACTGCACATATAAGTTCCATCAAACACCTTAACTACTGGGAACGCTTGGAAGCATTTCACTTGTACTCACTGGAGGGCAGGCGAGAGAGATACATCATAATTTACACCTGGAAAATCATAGAGGGACTGGTTCCTAATCTGCGCACAGAAATCACTCCCTACGAAAGCAAAAGACTTGGCAGGGGATGCAACATACGCCCAATGAAAAGTAGAGGAGCCATTAGTACACTAAGAAAAAACACAATAAGTGTTCGGGGCCCAAGATTGTTCAACAGCCTCCCACCAGCCATAAGCAAAATTACTAGATCTATGGTTGTCTTCAAAAGGGAGTTGTATAGATACCTAAAGTCAGTGCCGGATCAGTGGGCTGTGGTTTATACGGTGGACTACGTGCGGCCACCAGTAACAGCCTAGTTTATCAGCCCCTGATCCATCGGGAGGCGTGGTCATGGACCGGGCCTCGGGGGCGTTGATCTCCGGAATTCCCTTCAGGTAGACTCCAGGCAAACATACCAACTAGTTGAAGATTGAGACACTTGTGCAGCATATGGGAATCTTTATTCAGGAAACGTTTCGCCACACAGTGGCTTCATCAGTCCGATACAAAGTAGAAAGGCGTAAGGAGAGGAGGAGTTTGAGGTAATCAGTCCCTCAGCCTGGAGTCGATATGTTCAGTCCATCAATCTTGTAGAATGTACAGCATAGGGCCGTAGACGTGGCTTATATACTGTAGTGAGGTGAGGCGAAGCAGGAGGAGGTGAGGTCATAGTGGTACCATCCACTAGTCGAAGTAGGTCTTCGTCCAAAGGTTGGGCAAGTGTTGAAGAATTCTTTGTAACAAGATCCCATGATGCTGCAGTGTCAGACAGTTGTGATGAATGGTTTGAAAAACCGACAAGTTGAAGATTGAGACACTTGTGCAGCATATGGGAATCTTTATTCAGGAAACGTTTCGCCACACAGTGGCTTCATCAGTCCGATACAAAGTAGAAAGGCGTAAGGAGAGGAGGAGTTTGAGGTAATCAGTCCCTCAGCCTGGAGTCGATGAGTTCAGTCCATCAATCTTGTAGAATGTACAGCATAGGGCCGTATACGTGGCTTATATACTGTAGTGAGGTGAGGCGAAGCAGGAGGAGGTGAGGTCATAGTGGTACCATCCACTAGTCGAAGTAGGTCTTCGTCCAAAGGTTGGACAAGTGTTGAAGAATTCTTTGTAACAAGATCCCATGATGCTGCAGTGTCAGACAGTTCTGATGAAAGGTTTGAAAAACCATTGATGTACATTCTACAAGATTGATGGACTGAACACATCGACTCCAGGCTGAGGGATTGATTACCTCAAACTCCTCCTCTCCTTACGCCTTTCTACTTTGTATCGGACTGATGAAGCCACTGTGTGGCGAAACGTTTCCTGAATAAAGATTCCCATATGCTGCACAAGTGTCTCAATCTTCAACTTGTCGGTTTTTCAAACCATTCATCACGACTGTCTGACACTGCAGCATCATGGGATCTTGTTACAAAGAATTCTTCAATACTTGTCCAACCTTTGGACGAAGACCTACTTCGACTAGTGGATGGTACCACTATGACCTCACCTCCTCCTGCTTCGCCTCACCTCACTACAGTATATAAGCCAAGTCTACGGCCCTATGCTGTACATTCTACAAGATTGATGGACTGAACACATCGACTCCAGGCTGAGGGACTGATTACCTCAAACTCCTCCTCTCCTTACGCCTTTCTACTTTGTATCGGACTGATGAAGCCACTGTGTGGCGAAACGTTTCCTGAATAAAGATTCCCATATGCTGCACAAGTGTCTCAATCTTCAACTTGTCGGTTTTTCAAACCATTCATCACATACCAACTAGTACCCAGTGCCCGGTGCCTGAAAGACTGATTATTTTATAAGGCACTGGAAGGCAGCGAGCCCACAAGCATGTGGGTTGGCTAACATGTCTTCCTATTGGATAAACTACAGATGTCTTGGACTGGTGGGATAAGCTATGGTCTTTCTTTTGGATAAACTAGAGATATCTCCAGCTTTAAATGAGTCGACGGTGGGAAAAAAGATTGAATAATAATTATTCACTTTTTATTCATATTATTTTGTACACTATTCCTTCCACGCAATACTTAAGACAAAAATTCAAGAAATATATAAGAGTAAATTTGCCAATGCAGAGGCAGCAGTTACTGAGGCTGTGAATATGTCTGGGAAGGTGCAGCACTCCTTTCAGCAGCTTCGGCGGCGGCTCGGGCAGCGTCTTCCTTAGCAGCAAAATCGATCTGTTCCAACACGTACTCAGGAATTGAGTGGGGAAAGGCAGGAGCCACTGGTAACACGTCAGACTCGGGCTGGAAACCGTTCTGATCAGCGACGAACTTCACAACGATGGGAATGCCGTCAGGACTTTGATAGCTGTAAGAGGAAAAATATATTAAAATTAGTGTTCGTAGTGTTAATTTAGTAATAATAATAAAAATAATAATAATAATAATAATAATAATAATAATAATAATAATAATAATAATAATAATAATAATAACAATAATTAATAATAATAAGAAGAAGAAGAAAAAGAAGGAGAAGCATTATCATCATTATTATTATTATTATTATTATTATTATTATTATTATTATTATTATTATTATTATTATTATGATGATGATGATGATGATGATGATGATGATGGTGATGATGATGATATTTATTATTATTATTACTGCTTATCCTTTTTTATAGTTTTATTCTATTACTCACGAGTATTGTCCAGATGTAATTACAGCACCCTCTGGGCCACCAGGTGACCCAGACTGGGATTGGATGATGCCGTTTTCAGTCTCAAACTCAAGTGAGAAAGTTCCATCTTCTTTCTGTGTTCGCTCGTCTTTAATTATGTTTATAATCTCAAATGGGACGGAAGCATCGGGAGTTCCATAGGCTGGCTGGGGTTCTGGTGGAGGTAGGGCCGGCTGGGGCACTTGGTATCCAGCCTGAGGGGCAGCAATGGCCATGGCAGCAACGGCAATGAGAATTACCTGTGACAAGATTTTATTCAGACTTTTTTTCATTAGGTTAGTTTAGCAAGTACATGCATTATAGTTTTAGTGTTAAGTATTACATTATTTCACAACTTAATAAGAGCAATATATATATAAGACATGGAATTTCTATGACACCAAATGTAATAAACAAGGCATCAGACTGGGCAAACATAACTAGCCGGGTCCGACAAGGTTTTTTTTTCTGAGACCCATTTTTTTTTTCCCGGGGTTTTTTTGTAAAAGGACTTTCTCGCTCTCTTGTCTTTTGCTCGCTAAATGCCTTTGAAGCGAGTGCCAAAAATCGCTTTTAAGGGATGACTGACCAAAGCGGGAATTACTACTACTAGCGACAAAAAATTTTTGAGAAAAGTGAAAATGAGCAAGATAAATATAAAAAAAATTTTGTCTACAAAAAAAATCAATTAAATATTAGATTTTTCCCTCAAAAAAGGAAAAATTTTTAAAACAAAACCCGATAGGGCAAATATTAGGGCCGCACTAAAAAAGAAGGGTTTTAAACCCCTTTTAAACATAGTCCATTTTCAAGAAAAAAAAGTCATTTGAAAAACCAGAAAAACATAATATATAAAAAATGCAAAATTTGGTATAAAAAGAGTAAGAGTTAACAGTAAAAAACTTTTTTGACTTTTTTTTGCCCAAAGGAATGGGTTCTAAAATTCCAGTTTTGCCCCCCACTACCCCCATCGCCCCAAAACCATTAGTGTATGCTAGATTATAACGACATGCTAGCAGATAAACAGACCAGGTTTCCGGGAAAAGCTTATTAAATTATTTTTTTTTTACAATCGTTTATTAACAAATTTTTTTTGACACTTTGTTTTTATTGATCAACAAAAGTCAAATGTTTTATCAAAAAAAGGGAAAACTAAAAACAAAAAGCTTTATTAGGATCCCCTTTAAACACAAATTTTTTAAACTAATAAAAACAATAAAAAAATTTTTTTTGGGTAAAATTCGGGTGAAAAATGCAAAAAAAATAAAAAATTGGCTCAAAATGGTTAATGATACGAACAAATGGGGAAAATAAACTTTGCACAGCCCTCAAGACATTTTTAAAATAGATAACTTTTTCCTTTGGGATAAAGGATCCCTACTGGCAAGCGTTTTTTTTTTTTTTTTTTCTTGTTTTTTTTTTTGTTTTTGTTTTTTTTAATAAATAGCTTAAAAATGTACCCCAATTTTGGCCTTTTTCCAAAAAACAGTCGGGGGAAAACCCCTTTTTTCATAATAAATCTTATCAAATTTCTCAAAATGAGTACTCGCCCCTGAAAAATTTTTCCTGAAATTTAACAAAAATTTTTTTCCAGATAAACTATGAAAATTAAATAAAAAGCCTTTTAAAAAGGTTAAAAGAAAATATGACACACCCACATCAAAAAACCCCAAAAAATTCAAAGGCAGGCCCAAGACCTCGGGGTTTTAACACCCACGTTTCCCAACGAAGAAAAATTAATTTTTGCCCAGATAAATGCACCCCTCGAAAGGGGTTGAAATGTTTCTAACATTCTCAAACAACGTTTTTAACTTTCCCCACCCTTAAAACCAATTTTATTTTCATTTTTCAACAACCTTTTTTTTGGAAACGATCGATATAAACCATACCCCCGGCCGGGTTTGAACCCGCGGTCATAGGGGTCTCAGGAAAAAATAAACTGGAGATATCAGGTACCCCTTTATGTGTAACAAAAGCATTCTTACAAACTTTTCATCTTGGCTGCTGGCTTTTGACTAATGCAAGTTTTTTAAATTCTAACTGATTTTTAATTTTCACAAGGGAAAGGATGTTTTTGGGGTCTTATTTTGCTTTCACTCTTACTAGAAATTTTTTTAGGGCATTTGATGTCTGATTTTTTCGTCTCAATTTTAAACGCATGAAAAATTTGGGCCTTTCTGGGGATATGTTGCTCGGAGAATTTAAAACATTATATTTTAAGCGTCATAAACCACCTACAAAAAAAAACCCCGGACATTCATGGGCCAACACCCTTTTTTCCTTTAAAAATGACGTTTTCCAAGTGTTTTTTTAATTTTTTTTTTGAAAAAACTATAAATATTGCATTTATTTTAAACATAAAAGCCCAACAAAAAAAAACACTAAAATTTGCCAGATGAATTCCCAAAAATGCTTTTTTTTATTTCATTACCCAGCCCCATATAAGAGTGTAAACAAAATTTAAAGGGAAAACATCCAAAACAGTTTTTGTTATTCGAAATAAAAAATTTTTGTTAAAAATTGGGGTATGGAACAAAAAAATTTTTTAATTTAAAAAAGGGAAATTTACCACCTGCATCAATAGTTTCCCTTTTACATCAGATTAGCAGTTTAAATATTACTGCGTTTTAACTAATATATATAATTAAATTTTTTGCGGGAAATGCAATGACAAATATATATATATATATATAAAATATATAAATATATTTATATATAATATATAATTATAATAAATAAAATATATATATAAATTATATATATATATTTAATAATTTTAATATATATATATATATATTATATATATTTTAAAATAATAAATTTTATATATATAATATATATAAATATATATATATATAATATTTTTTTTTTTTTTTTTTTTAAAAACAAGGGGGCCGTCCCCCACCGAGGCGGGGTCCCCCAAAAAAGAAAAAAAATCCCCAAAAAGAAAAAAATTTTCCATCATCATTCAACATTTTCCCCACACCGCACTTTATCACTTTTTTTGGGCAGGGGTTTTGCTCGGGAATACAACACCCAGAACCCTAAACATAAAAAGATACCAACATACCCCTCCAAACTCCCCAATTTAATCCCAAACCCCCCCTTTTAAAAGGGTTGAAAGGCATTGTACTTCCCATTTTCCCCCAGGCCCAAAATCCACTATTTTAAAATAACCGTTTTCCCAAAACCCCCTTTTCACTAAATATTACCCTGCTCACACTCCAACAGATCGTCAGGGCCCCAAATCCATTCCCTCCCCCCATTTACCCTATCTAACCAAACCCCCCGGGACGCTTTCTGGAAAATCCAAACCCCTTACCCAAAAACCCCCTTTTTCCCCCCCCCCTCCCCAAACCCTTTTTAGGGCGGGGCCCCCACCCCCGCCTGCCTTCCCCTTTAGATTTATATGCTTTCCTTGTCCCTTTTACTGTGATCCATTCTCTCAAAGGGCCAAAAACCCCCTCAAAAACCCCCCCTTTTGCCCTCTACAAAAAACTTTTTTTAACTCCCCCCCCTTCTCCAAAATTTTCCCCCTCCCAAATTTTCCGCATAATATTTACACCCAACATTTCCCCTTTAAAAAGGACACCCCGCTTTCCTCCAACCCCGCCCCCTTTGCTGCTGCATTTTCCACCCAACTTCACACCCAATAAAAAGGTTGGGACTACTTATTTTTATACATTCCCCCTTTTTTCCTCCATAGAAAACGTTTTTTTTACTCCCAAAAATACCTCCCAAAGCACCACTCAAATTTTTTTTTCCCTCATCTTCTAATTAACCTCATCCTTCTAAATCCCCCTCCGCCGAAAAAAAAAAAAGGGCAACTCCCCAAATTAAAACTGAAAACTTTTCCCTTTTTCCCCTACCCTCCCCCCAATTTGATAACCAATTTTTTTTTTATCTAAATCATTTGAAAACCCTCATCACCTTTCTCTTTTTTTAGTTCAAATTTTAACTTTCAAAACCCTTTTAAAAACATTTCCCAAACTCATCCACTAAAACCTTTGCAATTTTTCTTTAGAAACTCCCAAAAGCCAGTATCCCTCACAAAAAGTAACCGTGGGCAATTCCCTTTTTTAAATTTTTATTCCCCATAATTTTAAAACCCACCCCCCCTCCCCAAACCCCCCTAGCCTTTAATTCCTTTTTCAACCCCAAACTATAAATTATTAAACAACCCTTTGGGGACATTACACATCCCTTCAAAAACCTCTTTTTTAAACCGGGAAATAGTCTCCCTCCCTTCTACAAAACCCAACCTGGCCCCCACTATCCTCATAAAAACTCTTTAAAAGCATTTAAAAAAACTTTTCCACCTATTTTCCCTATACCCTTTCAACCCCTGCCCCAAAATTTCTCCTTTTTATCCCCCCTTATCATATGCCTTTTTTCTAAATCCATAAATTCAAAAAAACTTCCCCCTTCTTTAAACTAAATAAAAATTTTTCCCCCATATGCTTCAATGTAAACCCCCAAACTACACATCCCCTACCCCCTCTAAAACCTCCTTGCTCATCCGCAAACCTACCTTCTGTCTTACCTCAATTCTTTCAATTTTAAAAACCCCAACCCACAATTTTCCCCGGTAAAAATCAGAAGCTTTTTCCCTATAAAATTTTTTCAGGCTCTTTTGTTCCCCCTTTTTTCCCTTTTTAAAAAGGATAAACATGCTCCCCGCCAATTTCCCCAGGTACCTTCCCCCCCTTTTATACAATTATTTTAAAAAAAAGTACCAACCAAATCCAAAAAACTTTTAAACCCCCCCGCTTTTTCCCTTTTTATCAAGATCCCATCAGTTTCCCGCTGCTTTACCCCCTTTTTTATTTTACGTAATGCCTCCCCTACCCTCCCCCCCACTTTCAATTTTGCTCTTTTTTCACTCCTAAAAGAGGTAAAAACCTCCCTGACCATGCATGAAATTATTTCCCTGTTTCTTCCTTAAAATTTAAAAATTCCCCAAAAAATTTTTCGCCATCACCCAATACCTCCACTCCCCCTCTACTAACTCCCCTACTCTGTTTTTTTTAAAAGAAAATCCAAAGATTTTTTTTTTTTCCCCAGGGTTTTCTTTAACCTTTTTTTTTTTAAAACCCCCCCCTTCCAAAATTTTTTTTTTATTTTCTTTAAAAATTTTTTTGACAGTCCCTCCACTTTTATCATCTGCCTCCTTTTGCACTCTCTCACCACTCTCTTTTTCCTTTTTTTTTACTCTCCATATACTCCCGCTCTTTTTTAACACTTTTGCTTTTTAAAAACCACTCATAAGCT